AGGAGAGTTAAAAGTTAGGAGCGCACCTTTAATCCCAGCACTCAGGAGGCTGAGGCATGTGGATCCCTGTGAGTCTGAGGCCAGCCTGGCCTACATAAAGTTAGGAGCAAGCCAATACATAAGAATATTCATCCAAAAATCAAAGAAGGCCTTGATAATAAAGACACCAACAACTTAACCAATATTGAGTAATCAGACCTAATTTCATTTGTTTTTTCCTTTTCTTTTTTTCCCCCTGTACTAGTGGCAATAGAACCCAGGGACTCCTCTTAATTCTTTTTGTTTTTAACTTTTTTCTACATTTATTATGTGTGTGCATGCATGCATGAGTGTGGAAATGTGTATGTGTGAGCCCACGTGTGTGGCGGTCAGAGGGTAACCTATGGAAGTCGGTTCTCTTTCCACCAAGTGTGTTTTAGGAACTGAACTCAGGTCGCCAGGCTCAGCAACCCACTGAGCCACCTCTCTGGCCTTCCTCTTAACTCTTGATTGTTATCTCAGGCCTTGGACATGGCCACTGTGCTTTCTGCAACCTGCACAGAGTGAAAGAGGCCCTGATGGGCAGATAAGCGTGCCTTCCTCTATTGAACTACTAAAATCAGACAGACAATAATCTCCCATTCTGGCAGGAGGAATCATCTGCAATGGAAGACACAGAATTAAGGTGCAATGTCCTAATCCAAAAGGGAGAACTCTCCCTCCCCAAACCCCAAAACATCACCATCGACACAGGGTCACAGGAGAACCCCCGGTTTCCTTTACTCAAGGCTAACATTCAAGCATTCCCCTGTGGCATTTCCAGACCATGAGAAACACCAGAAGAATCAGTGTGGACACAGGGATGTTTCTAGGTGGCTGAAAATGCAAAGCATTCGGAACTTCTGCAATTTTCTCTAGTAATCGGGTCAGGCATTTGACACTTGAGGTGGCAAAAACACTGTTTGAACAGTAACATCCCTTTCCCGCCTTGCCACTGACCCCAGCCCTGGCGTTCCTGTCCACACACAGGCCACAGCTGCTTAGCCACCCCAGGCTGCACCTGTGAATCAGGCCAGCCTAATCACACTAACAGATGGTGAAGGCCAAGTAGCCAGCTAAGAACTGCTATCACTTTAAATAACATCTAATGTTTCACAGCACCAAACAGGGCCCTCCCAGTAGCAGAATCTCCCTGGTACAGCTAACACCAGTCCTTAATTGCTGCATAGCGCCCATCTTGGGGACAGAGCTGCTGTCTTTTGAGAGCTAATTACCAAGAGCCCCAGGTGCAAGGTGAAAGCATGGCAAATGCTCTTGGCTGGCACCCATCACACAGAGTGCTCTGCCGCCTGGCCCTTCCACACAGGGTAGTTGGGCTAGTGGTCAAAGCAAAAACCCAGATGTCCATGAACTTCAAATCACCAGGAGATTCAATTCATTAGACCTACTTGTTCTATAGCCTATACCTGCTGTGGCATGTTATGAGGTTATGCGGGCTCCTGGTGATGTGCCATCAGGCAGCATACTTGACCACCTGCACACACCCAGGCATGCCAACAAAACCAAGCTGATGGGACCCGATGTCCTCGTCAAAGGTGGTGACGCTCACATGAGGTATGACTGAGCAAACACCTCACCCCACCCTCCTGGGGACCTGGGATGCCACAGGTAACAGGCTGCCAGTGGTTCAAAGTTCGCCTTTGCCCCCGAGACAGTTTTCAGATGGATACAGCAAGGTGCTCTCCACAAGGGGTACTGGTGGCAGTGACTGGGCCAGCAGCTGGCACCAGGGCATTCTAGAGCCTGTCCTGGAGGATTCCACCTCCAGTTCAAGCAGAGCCAAAGAACCGCTGCTGCAGGGAGCAACATGCTGTGCTGTGCCCGTGTGGTCATTAGAAGACAGAGAACAGCAACGATCTTGAGAAGGCCGGCACAAGTCACAGAAAGGTCCATTTTCCCAGGTGCCTTTTACCCGCTGTGTTTTAGGAACAAGATGGCTGGTGATAGATGCCATTAGATTCATGTGTGCGTCCCTAAGTCCCTAAGTGATTCTCACCCCTTAGCAGACTCGACACCTGCATGCCGCCCCCACCAAGTCTCTAATTTACAGATCTGAGGAAGGGCCTGAGATGCCCATTTCTAGCAAATTCTGAGGTGATGCTGACTCTGTAGCTCTAGACACAGCACTTTAGGAACCACTGACTATAAGAGTCCTCTTACCCAAAAGTAAAACTTACATTAACCAAATGATTTCCCGTTATGCCCAAAGCATTCAGAGACTCAGGGGCAAAGCCAAATCTTCACTGAAGTAACACATTTATCCCTGAGGCCTAACAACATTTTCTCTGCTTCCTTTAAAGAGCCCCAGGTTAAACGATGGCATTTTCTACAAGTAGTGCAGGAAGAACCGAATGTCCAGAGGCAAAGGAAAATAAATCTAGATGCAGACTATACAAAAATTAACTTGAAATGGATCTCACAAAACCACAAAACCCCCAAGAGACAGAGAACTATCCTTAGGTTTGCTCACGACGTCTTAGACGTAACACCAAAGGTGTGATCCATGATATAACTGCTAAGCGAAGTTTCTGGTAAATTGAAAGACATCTGCTCTAGGAGACACTGTCAAAACAATAAAAATGTATCCACAGATTGAGAGGGAATATTAAAAAAAAAAAGGACTGCTATCCAATATATATACAAAGAACTCTTAAAACTCAACAATAAGAAAACAAACAACCCAATTAAAAAATGAGCCAAAGGCTTTAACAAACACACTCAGCAAAGAACACATGGAGATGGCAATCAAGCGTATAAAAAGATACTTTCCATCCTCAGTCATGAGGGAAATGCTAATTAAAAGGAGTAGCAGCACACACCTACCAGAACAGCAGAACTCCAAAGCACTGACATCACTGAATGCTGGTGAGGATGTGGAGTGACAGGAACTCTCCTTCACAGTGGACAGGAATACAAAATGGAAGGGCTGCTTTGGAAGACAGTTTGGCAAGCTTCCTACAAAGCTGACCTTACCACATCATCTGACCGTCATGTTTTCTGGTATTTACCCCTGAAGGGAGAAACATGTATCTAAACAAAGACTCCAAATAGGTTTGTAGCAGCTCTACTTGTGATTGCCAAACCTAGACAGCAACCAAGATGGCTTTCGGTGAGTTGACGGACTAATAAGCCTTGGTACATACAGGAGGGTGGGGGTGCTGTTCAATGCTAAAAAGAAATGAGCTGAACTCCACAAAAGACTCAGAAGAAACTTGGTGAATATTGCCAGCGGGGAGAAAGCCGATCTTCAAAGGTTACACGGTGTACACTAGTCCAGAAAATGGCACAGCTGTGGAAAAAAAATCAGTGGTTGCCAACAGCCATGGGGAAGGAGGGAGAGATGAACAAGGGATGCCTGGGAGATAGTTAGGATGATGAAATGACTCTCTATGATACTACACTGGTAGAGACATGTCATTATTCATCTGTCCAACTCACCACCTAAAGGGGAGCCTAATGAGAACCATAGACACTGAATTCTAATGCTGCATCAGTGTGGGCTCATCAGCTGTGACAAATGCACCACATTTTGATGTTGACAGTAGGCAAGGCTGTACTTGGGGCAGGGGAAAGCATAGGGGTAATTGCTATACATTCTCCTTCTGCATCCTCCTGCCGAATACTGGAGGTCCAGCCACGCACCACAACATACTCAGTGTAAACAATGACAGAGATTGCACCCAGGGCTTCATGCGTGCCAGGCAAAGCTACATCCCCAGCCCTAAAAACAGCACATCTTTTAAAGCAACAGGCTTGTTTCAGTAATTAATTACTAATATTTAGGACCCATTTAAATTCACTTAATTGACAAAAATCCTTTTGTGATAACACTAAATATATCAGGTAAGAAAAAAAAAACATTGACTAATGCATCATCACTTTGGGAGTAGTCCATCCAAGTTTGGAGAAGTAACTAAGCCTGCATTTACCTTCTCTATGGAACAAATATTCACAAGCACTTGGTCTTCTAAGCACATGCACTCATTTACTCTGTACAACTTCCGATGTCATTTCCCACTTTACAGCTGAAAGAACTGAGGCACAGAAGTTAACAGAGAAGCTGAGAAGTGGCGAATCAGGACTCAAACCCAGGCTACCCAGGCCAAGAAGTCGGCCATGCTCTTACCCAGCAGGCCAACGGCCTCAAGAGTGAGGGACTAGTGTCCACTGCCTTGAAACATGGCAGCAACCTGTCCCCTTTCCTTTCGCCGTCCTCAGAGAGTAAGACGCGCTTCCCTTACTTCCTTCCCCTCACCACGAGGCAATTTTGCCAAGACCAGGGTCTCTCAGACTAGGCACACTGGTATTTTGGACCAAATAATCCTTTTGTTAAATTATGCTCTGTGTGAAAGGAGCAACTCTGGCCTCCAACCACAAAATACCAGCAAGCCCCAGGGGAGGACTTTCCAAAAGAGATCAGTCAGTCAGGTGAGGTGGCTCACACCTGTCGGTCCCAGTACTCATGGGAGGATCATGTGGGCCCTAGAGTTCAAATCCAGCCTAAACAACAAAGGGAGACTTTGTCTCAATTAGTGAATACTTGAAGAATAATCATCAAATATTACCAGTTATCACAGGGGAGCAGGGAACAGGCAGTCACTCCTGGTGATGAACTCCTGGGTTAGGCAAGGCATGATCCGGGCGGGGACATGAAGAAAACCCAAAGGCTACGGTTGTACTAGTTGCACACTGAGAAACCAAAGGGAAAGGGAGAACCAGACAGAAAGTAGTGCTTATTTGAAAAAGAGAGATACCCACACAAGAAAGGACAAGTGGCAGAGGATAGACAGCAATGGACTTTATTCTCAAGTTAGAAAGTAGGGGTGGCAGACACAGTGGGGAACAGTGAGGGACCAAGGGACACAGAGCAGCAGTGCGGGGGACTCGACAGAAGACAGGTGACAGGCAGGACCCTCCTCATTTCTCTCTCTCGGAACCTTCCAGGCGAGTGAGTTACTTACTCTTGTTACTGCTCTCACTGACAAAATCTTCGGAGCCATCTGTGTCGTCCTCATCATCCCCAGATGAGATGGCATCTGTATTCAAAAGAACATATCCATGGATGTGTTTGCAAAGGCAAAAGTCACCATCACGTGCAACTGAGCCCTCCTTCAGAGTGAGTTCAACCACCCAGGAGCCCATGATGAAAGTCACAGACCATGTTTAGTTAAGATGGTGTCAGTGGCTGAAAGTGTCTCTCTGGGACGAGCTAGTCTCTGGTATGATTCTGAAGGTTTTCTGCTTTCTAAACACACTATGAAACGGAATTGGATTTTAAACTTCAAACAGTATTCAAGTCTGACAAATTTACTCCTCTGTAATAGCCAGATTGTCGCCCCCCACCACCAAGCACAACTTTTCAGCATTCAACAAAGAAAGTATTCCCTAACAAAACAGTCCCTGTGTGGTCCTTCTGATCGTTAACTAGCATTCTGAGAGCAGAACTCTCAATCTGGCCACAAAGGGGGTCTGCTGCTACCCCCTCGCTTCATGGAATGAAAAGTCAAGGAGAGAAACTCAAATTTTAATAAAAGAATCAAAATCTAGGGTTTCCACATTTCGATCTTATATTCTAAATGCCAAGAATGTTGAGGGTGTGGAGATGAAAACAATTCTGTGTGTTGCTCTGCACACAAGAGCTCTGTCATTTCTGAAATACATGATACACCAGGAAGAATTTCAGAAACAGAGCCATCAGGCACCGAGACCTACACCTATAGTCTCAGCACTCAGAAGGCTGATGGGAGATGACATGAGCCCAGAGTTTGAGTCTAGCTTGGGCAATAAAGGAAGACCTTGTCTCAAAGGAATGGATGAATAACGAACTCTGACACTCGATGAGTACATTTCACTTGGCCAGTAATAATTTAAAAATAATAATAATAATTTTCAATCAGAAAACAACAGAGGAGAGAGAGCATCACACTTGCAAGCCAACTCACCTGTGACATTGACCATGAAGTACCAAGTTTCACTGTCTACCGTCCTAGCAGCAGAACAAGCATAGAGGCCGGAGTCTCTAGGTGTGGCACCTTTTATCTGCAAGTACTCCCCAATAAGCACTGTCCTATTGTTCGGCCCCAAGTGCACCCCATCCTTAGTCCAACTGATCACAGCAGCATCTTTCAACAAGCAGCGCAACTCTAGCGACTCCCCGGGCGCGGCCACGTACGCTTCTGGTTGGGAGATTTGGTATTTGGTTGGTAGCTCTGCAGAACAGGTGGGAGAGAGAAGACAGAGGCAGATGGAAAGGAGAGAGAGGAGAGAAGGTCCAACAAAGGTCAGTGGAGGCCAATTCTTTCCCAGGGGAAACCGTTCTTGCTTTGCAAATGGTCCCAGGAGGTGTCCTTCTCTCCCCATACCCCAGGAAGCAGCCCTCACTCAAACTTGACAGACAGCACTGGAAACAATGGCCAGAGAAACACCCAGCAGAAGCTGTCCGAACTCCATTTCCCCCAGCTGTAAGCACGATTTTAAAATCAATCAAAACCTAGAATTAAAGGAAAACCCCACATGAGGGTCTTTAAGTCAATACCAATCCAGCCATTCAAATGGCTGTGAGTGTCCCCCCCACACACACACACACAAACTCTCAGACTTTTGCTTATCTACTTAGTCATGTTACATTTGGCCTGTTATTACAAAACCAAGCTTCTCAATATGAAATTTCTCAAATTCAAGGGCAAATCAACCCATCTATAAAACTCTTAGCCATCTGGGAAGGGGCAACTCTTAGCTTCCCATTTGGATGCACTCTCAGGGTTCAATCGGTACTATGCTGGTTGGGACACTTAGCTCTGTGCTGGGCAAGCTGTGACATGCTGCCTTCCCCAAAAATGGTAGCTATCTGGAGGTCTTTAACATCAAAAGTAAAAAGGCAGCTGAGAGGCCTGCCTGTACTGTGCATCAGCAGATTGGGTAAGAATGATGCCTGCACTGACCAGCCCTCACACCACTAGCAAAGCCAGCTCCATCCTGCCCACGGGGTGAGGCCTGTCCCTGGCCTCCTCAGCAGCCTCAGCCCTCCTCTTCTTTATGAATACAAGGTCCTTCCTGTCATCCCCATTCAGCTCAACTCCTCTTTTCATGCCTAGATCAAGCATGGCCCTCCATGACACACCACCCTGCATCAGTCACCTGGCCAGAAATGAAGGGGGTCTCTCCCCCTCCAAAGTGCATATGCTCACTTCCTTAGCTCCCTGTGACTGTCCAGACTCACTGAACAGACCTTCAACCCCCAGATGGAAGGCTCAGCTCTGATAGGTCTTTATGTTCCACCTCCATCCTGGGGACACTCATGACATACCCAGAGAACGTGCCATAGTGAGCATCATCATAGTCTCTAAAGAGGCAGGACAGGATGAGACCCATGAGGATCTAACCCACACTACTTCTCCAAAAAGAAGTGAAGAAGCCATGGGCCTTTAAGGAAAATAGCTGAGCTGAGGGGCCAGGAAGGCCATGAGGGTCCATGCAATGAGCTTTCATCCCCACAACAAGAGCTGTGAATGGTACTTGGTGTCCCAGTCCTGGAAAACACAAAGCTTCCTTCCCTGAACTGGGAAGGCTCCAGATCTGAGCAGTGGCATCACAAGGCAATTATTCTGCCCAGAACCCATCAAAAGAACAAATCTCCCACACGGCTGAAATAAAGTCAGTTCACAGTCACTATTTAATAAACATCTGTTCCAAGAAATACCACCACCACCACCGCCACCGCCGCCGCCGCCGCCACCATCCACCACCACCACCATCCACCAGCCAACACAAGAGGCCTGGGGCTTTCCACAGGGAGCCCCTCCAAAGGTAACAAGAAGGGTACAGATGTTAAACAGTACGTAAACACAAAG